AAAAAAAAAAAAAAAAAAGCAAATAAAACAATTCTCAACCCCTAAATCCAATGTAATAAACCCATCTTAAGAACATAAAAGTCACTCAACTATGTGTGTATCTGTTTTTTCTTTTTTTCTGTATATGCCTCTCTCTCTACCCAATGAAAAGGAAATCAATCACTAAAACCATCCATTACAAAGCTACAACAAACCAAATGCAATAATCTTGAAACCGCCACATAAATCTTCAATCTTTATTCCCCCCATTCTTTCTCTACGAAAGAAACGAGGTCCCCGCGTGATTATGATGCAGCAAGTTATGCGCAATGGCGTCCCGGGCCTTCATAGCATTCCCCGACCTCAGCCCGATCTCAGGCACCATCTCATCATCAAGGAGCTCGAATTCAAGGCCCGGTTCCAAGCCCTCGTTCCTCAATTCGCATATATTATGCAAAACGCAGCACGCCCCAAGAACCACCGGCAAGTCCTGCAGCTTCACCTCAGTCCTCTTCTGCAGGCACCCCCACCTTCCCTTGAGCCTCGCAAACGACTCCTTCGCAATCCCTTGAATTTCCCCGACTTTTTCGTTAAACGCGTGTTGCGTCCATGTTAGGTGTTGCTGCGTGTAGGGAACCAAAACCCAGTCCATCAACGGGTAACCTGGCCCGCCCACAATCCACATTCCTTGGTAGAAACCCGCATTTGCCCGTTGAAAAAGCGTGGATTTTTCCAATACTTGATCGTCGTGCATCGAGCCCGGATAGCCTATGCAAACGTCCGTGAATACTCCCCTGTGGTCCACTACGCCTTGGACAGTGATCGAGTATGAAGTCTTCTGGTTGCGTTCGGTGTGCCTGCGGTTGAAATACGCGGCCACGCTGATTTTGGGGGCGATTATTGGTATGTGGGTGGTGTACATGGACCCCACCACGTTGGGTATGCCGGAGAGTGATTCGAACTGGTTCTTGATTGTCAGGAGAGACTCGTCGTCATCCGGCCACCGGAGATATTTGGGCATGAGGACCTTTCGGATGGCGGAGCAGACCTCGAGGACGAGTTTGTGGCAGGTGGATATGCCGAGGCCGAATTTTTTGGAGACGAGGCGGAGGGGCTCGCCGGTGGCCAGCCGCCAGATGCAGACGGCCACGCGCTGACGGACGGGGACGGCGTCCCTGAGCATGGTGTTTTCCTTGGCGACGGCGGAGCTCAGCTCGTTGCAGATCATGTCGAAAGTCTCCTTGCCCATGCGGAAGGCTTTTCGGAACTCGTCGTCCGGGAAATCGGGGCTGCTGCACTGGTCCCACCAGTCGCGGGACCGGTTCTTGACCCAGAGCCGCCGATGGGGGCCGGCCGGCGGGGGCCTGTCGCCGCTCGCGGCGGGGGAACCGTCTCCGGCGGGGGCGGGATCGTCAGCGGCGACGGAAACGGCGGCGCCTGCGACAACGAGGGCGTCGGATCGAGATTTGCGCCGGCGCGTGTCGTCCACGAGGGTGGCGTTGTGGTGGTGGTCCTGCAGGCGGGAGTAGTATTCGACCATGGCCCGGGCACGGCGGTCGTGGTTCTGGTCGAGCTGGTGCCTTTCGTCGTGGTGGGCCCTGTCGAGCTCCTCGATTTCGATTTTTTCCTGATCGTCGAGCAGGATAAGGGAGGTGATGATCTCGGTCAGGCCTTTGGTCTTCACCTTGGTATCCCCGCCGTGGGACACGGCGGCGTTGTTCGGGCCGTCGTCCCTTCTCCTCCTCTTCCTCTGCGGCGGCGGCTGCTGGTGCGGCTTAATCTCGTTCATCTCAAGCAAGAAAAAAAAAAAAATAACGTTTCTTGATCCGAAAGCAAGAAAGGGAAATTGGAGTAAAAAAGGGAAATGGGACAAATGGGAAGATAAATAGATATAGAGAGAAGGTGTTCGACGGAATGCCTGACTGAGAAATGTGAACGCTTGAAGCAAATGTCAAACAAAAATTGGGGGGCTTTTTCAAAAAGCTTGGTCAGATGATGAGCATATAATAATGTCTGCATTTATCTTTTTGTTGGTGTAGAGAGAGAAAGAGAGAGAGAGAGAGAGATAGAGAGAGAAAACGTGTGGGATAGGTGTGAACACGACGAGATCAAAAGATTTGAGGAAGTTTCGAGGAAAAAGATGATACAGAGAGAGAGAGAGAGAGAGAGACGGTGGGTTGGGTTTGTTAAATAAGACGGTGACTTGTCTTTGAGGTTTTACATTTTTTTAGTGATTTGTCATTAGTTAAAGTATATATTATTCAAGTCCTCTATAGTTTATATTAAAATACTTTTTTTATATTAAAAAATTGTTAAATTATTGCCATTTTATATAAAATTTATTTAGGTATATATATTATTCAAGAATATATAGAGTTTATTAATTTATTTTAAAATAATTACCATTTAAGGAATCCAACAGTCTTATTAATGGAAAGATATATATATATATATATATATATATATATATATTATGTTTAAATTATAAAAATTAATTATAAATATATAAACAATTATTGTGTTTAGTGAAAAACTTAATTTTGAATATAGTAAAATAATGTGATTATACACAAATATTAGTACCTAGAAGAATATACGTTTTTTTTTTTTTTTTAAATGATAGAAGAGTAATATATACATATTTAAAGAGGAGTAGTGCAGGAAATGCTAAGATTCCGTTACGGAACCATTTCATCAGAGTTTATAATCGTTAGATCATCCTGTAATCACCGTCAGGGATAGTTTATCTAACAATTACAAACCCGACGGAATGATTCCGTAACGAGACCGTAGCATCTTCCATAAAGTTATATTGGAATTAAATAAAAGAGCCTCTATGTAAGTCGGTCAATAAAGTTTTCTTTTTTTTTTTCAATTTATGAAATATAATTTAAGTCAGTTTTAAAAATAAAAATAAAAATAACTGCCTTAATCAAATATTTTGATATTTATTTATTATGTGCAAGTAAGATAGAATAAGTTTTGCAGTATTAAAATAACAGTATGGTTTAATTGTAAAGTTGAATTTAAAATAATAGTGTGGTTTAATTGTAAAGTTGTAAAATATGTGGGTAGTATTGAAAAGTTGTAGAAGTTGATGTAAAAGAGAATATTCCGAGAATATTTTTCTGAGTAAGAGAATGAGTTTTTCGGTTGGAGATGAATTACTGCAAAGTGGGATAATTACTGCACAATGGGTATGAGTATGGAGTATTCGGTTGGAGATGGCCTAACTCTTTCAAGTGCAAACCCAAACCTTCCATAGCCCAAGCGCAAATATGCTTGGCCCAAATTTTTGTGATCCGGCATCCGACTTATCAAGAACAGCACCTTAGAGGCCCATTACGAAGTAGCCACTTCAGTTCTCGTCCCCACGAACGGTTGACGGTACACAACAGCATCTGAGTTCGGGGGTCAAGCATTCTCACTACGGAGTGAATGAGATCGATCATTGGGCTGCCGATCAACTCCTCCGCCCGTGTACGACCAGATTCAGGCGGATGTTCTTGAGCTGGCGGTATTTCTTGAAAGACTGAAAAGGACTGGGCCAGTTCTTGACGGCGTGAGGTCAACGGGATGTGTTCTTGACACCCAAATCTCGGAGACGGGAGTTCCAGAGGTGGAAGATTTTCCCGACAAGGTCTGTTGGCTGGGATCCCGGAAGAGGGCCGTGGCGGCGGAAGTATCAAGGGTGGAAGATTTTCCTAGCGAGGTCTGTTGGCTGGGATTCCGGAAGAGGACGTTGCCAGCGGTAGTATCAGGGGTGGGCGAGCTCTGTTGGTTGGGATTCCGGAAGTGGGAGGAAGATCGGGTAAATCTCCGACGATGGAAGAGGGCGGTGGCGGCGGATATATCAGGGGTAAGAAAGTTTCCCGGCGAGCTCCGTTGACTGGGATTCCGGGAGGGGGAGGTAGGTCGGCTAAACCTCCAGTGGCAATCGATAGGGCTGAGAGCGGTGGGTAAGGTCCCAATCTCGGGTGTAGAAGGAGTGCAAATATACGTATTTAAAGAGGAGTAGTGCGTGAAATGCTAAGATCCCGTTACAGAACCATTCCATCAGAGTTTATAACCGTTAGATCATTATGTAACCGCCGTCAGAGATAGTTCATCTAAAGGTTACAAACACGACGGAATGGTTCTGTAACAGGACCGTAGCATCTTCCATAAAGTTATATTAGAATTAAAGAAAAGAGCCTATATGTAAGTCGGTAAATAAAGTTTTTTTTTTTTTTCAATTTATGAAATATAATTTGGATTGTTTTATTTAAGTCAGTTTTTTAAAAAAATAAAAATAACCGTCTTAATCAAATATTTTGATTTATTTATTTATTATGTGCAAGTAAGATAGAAAAACTCTTATTTATTAAATAGTAAACATTAGATATTCAACTAGAAGAAAGAAAAAACAAAAGTAATGCAGGATTACAATTCTATAAGTAAAAGACGAATAAATAATTTCCAAAATTATATCAAAGCTATATTTATTTCAAATTATAGTCATTTTGTAAATAAAAGCTATATTCTATCAAAGAAAATAGACTATATGTAAGTCGGTTAATAATATATATATTTTTTATCTTCTTATGAAATTCTTGAAAATATTGTCTTGGTAATGTGTGGGATTTTATGATAGAATTTCATGTATTTATATTGTTTATGAAAACTCAAATAAATTTGAAAAAGTCCCTACATATACAAATGCAGAAAATTAAATGAATACGTTCGTGGCTATTTTGTAAAATCCTAAATTAATATGTTCAGAATTTAAAGTTTTAATAATTTTCAAAAACAGATTATTATGATTTTAAAAACACTAATTAAATACATAAATATCTTAAAGCCTCAAAAAAGACATAAAATAACTGAAATTTATTTGTGATATTTTTCTTTTTTCTTTTTTTTTTTTTTAAAAAAAAAATTAGTGTTAGTGGAAGACTCATTTGATTGACTATGTACGAATTTGGATTGTAGACAACTATGACAGCACGAATTTCAGAAGAACTCTCTCACACGCATTGTATTTTTTTTTTTTTTTTTTTTGGTACAAGGACTTTCCCGTTTCTGCAGGAGAACCGATTAATCCAGAATCGAGCCGAGTAGCACCACAAGGGCGGCAAAACTCTCCCTCAAGAGTTTTAGCACTGTTGCATTCCCAGGACTCAAACACGAGACCACTGGTTAAGTTACAAAAGACTCAAGCCATCTCATCCAATCACTGCTCTTGGATTCACACGCATTGTATTTGATATTTCATAGATTATATATCTCAAGGATTTTATAAAATATATGCAAACAAAGGTCGTGCTGATTAAAAGTGCTTAAAAAAGTTGGAATTGTAACATATAATCCTGTTTCTTTACTCGTTTCCACCTAATAATTACTTCAAATATTAAATTTTGATTTGACTGCAAAAGTCAACATTTCGTTTTGTCCTTGAAAGCCCAGCTTTTTTTTTTTTTTTTTTTTTTAATAAAAACGTGTAATTTTTTTCTTTAATCTTTGAGGTGTCAAATAGAATTAAATCAATTTTGCTGAATATAATCTGAGATGCGCAAAAGAGATCAACGAAAATTGAAACTCCTGAAGAGGTTTGGAAGAAAATTTTATGTATGTGTTACATATTAATAATGATAAATCATTTTATTAAATTCAAATTAAAGTATCTATATATATAAAGTGTTTATTTTCTTAGATACGGTTTACACGGAGTTAGGCTGTTTTCTGTATTATTTGTTTTCTGCTTAATAATAATGTATAAGTTACATTTTGTTTTATTCCAATACATGTGTTTTACGCTCTTACAATCATCCAAATATAAATATTTATCTTAATAAAATTACCTCGTGCATGACACGGGTACCATACTAGTATTAATTTATATGATATGAGTTACAAAATTTATATATATATATATATATATATATATATATATATATAGGGATTGGTTCCAATGCATCCACATTCTTAAAGTGAGGTCGTGAGGCTCATTTCTAGTCACAAGATTTGGTACATAATGAGTGTCTAAGATTTAATCTTTTCTTTTTATTATTTTAATTATTTAAATATTATTTTGACCCGTTGACTCCGGTGTT